ACTCGATCATCTGGTGCTTTGGATATACCTTTATGTCGCCTGTCAACAGGGCAGCGCTCCTTTGCTTTCAGAGGAGCCAAACTCTGGAACTCCTTGAATGATAACATTAAGTCCTTAAAATGCCCCAGGAATTTTAGACGTCATCTTGCAAATGTTTTATTAAGTTGATATATTATATTATTGATATATATTTTGTAATTATAATATTATTGTATTTACATTCTCAATTAATTTATATATTTGTATTTTTTTTTTTTTATTCTATTGAGCTGAAAAGCCCACTTAGGGAGCATCAATAAAGTGTATGTATGTATGTATGTATATATATAGGTGCAAAAATGAGTATAAAAAAATATGAATTATCTTACTACCCCATTATATCCTTTCTTTTTCTTTTCTTTATCAAAAACTGTCATCAAACGTACATTATAACCGTAAGACTTTTCCAGAGAAGTAAATGAGAATTAATTCCAAGTAAAACAAATTATACACAAACTAAATACATCTACAGTGAAATGCTGCTTTCACTTTTGCCTGACAGAACGCCACTGTTGTCGGGACAGTTTCTTTCACTGACATTTTTTAGATCTGCGATATAGCTCCGTCAGCTTAAACAAGTGAAGTCGCCTCTAAATTTTACATAACCCGCAGTGTCATCCTCAAGGATTCCATTTCTCGCGTCAACCTTCGAAAGGCTTTACGAAATCATTTCTCTTGTAGTAGTACAACACAAAAGTTGGATAAAGGAGGAGTGTCAATGGAGTGTATTTTGTTGCCAGTTATCTCTTTGGCACTCCTCTCTGCAACATTTCAAAAATCCCTTTCGAGTATTGTCTAAATTCATCGTCGGCAAAACAAACCAATACAGTTCCACATATATCAAAAGTTATTTCGCTTTCAAACGTCTTAAAAAGAGAGGCTACTGCAAGAGCTCGCCTTTTTTTCTTACTGACTTGGAACGAACGTGAAGGTTCAAGCTTATCAATTTCTCTTGAATTTTTTATTCCTTTTTTTCCGCTTTTCTTTAATATTTTCAGCAACTGGCTGTATGAGAAATGAAGTTACGTAAGAAAGTCCTGTCCAAGGTTTTAGAACTAAATCTAAGGTTGTTTCTTTCTTGTTCCACCTTTTTCAAACTTTAAATGGCCGTGCGTGAACATTTGGAAGGCACTTCATTTCAGAAAAGCACTTTTATAAGCGATCTCCATTACAGGTGGAAGCAGCTTATACCTTGAATCGCAAACCTTTCAGCAGTTCCATTTTATGACTATCGCGGAGCCTATCCTTCACGTCGGTTTTAATTTTTAGCCGTCCCTTCAAAAGTATGGATGCCGTGGCAACAGACACTCTTTCTTCGGACAGTAGACCCTCGCCGCCGTCTTCTTTCTAGTGAGAGTATATCTCAAAACCTCTGCCGAGTTCTCGGGATCTTTTACTTGGTAGAGGTAGCGCTCTTTATGCATCACACATATATCCCATAGTGCGATGGGCAGGGTCCGAGAAAAATTCACCTTGCACTGCTCACAGCTTTTGGCATTTGGGAAGTCGTTGACAAAAACAATATTGAACGGTTAGTCGTTGTGGTAGAATTCTGTAAAGCGATATGGTTTTGCAAAGTCGAGATCGGGATCATGAACCGAATTTGGATCTATTTCCTCAACAACTGGCTCCTGCTCGACGTTGTTATTACCTCGGCGAGGCTACTTCTCAGTCTGGCGACAATTTGCACCAGCACTTCTGGGGACATTGTTAAAAGCGAGCCGAGACTCCAGGTCGTTTTGCTACGCATAATTTTGGATGTCCCGCATTAAGTTCCCTTGCGTTTCAGCCACGGCGATGGAATGCGGGCATAATCCCCCAGTTGCCACAGAGGAAGCACAATCTTTGCAGTTGAATTTTCCTTTCTTATTTTCAACGGTAAAGGCTTTGTCGCTTTCACTAACACAGAAGTTTCCGTTGTCCAATGGAATAACCTTGAATCGTGCGAGAATTATTTCTGCTTTGCGCCAAATATCTGCTACAACTTGCGATGCAAGTTGTTTTGGCAAACCGCTTTCTTCAAGAGAAATAGACAGCTTCTTTAAGGCCATGTCGTCTGAACTCTTGTCGTCAAGTAATTCTTGACCTAAGACTTTCTTTATGTACGCAGATCTTTGTTCGCGTGTCATCTGGGACCACCTTAGGGGGTCGATACTGAAATTCTCGTATCCTGGTGCAAGATCCAT